TGACAAGGCCTGCGTACTCAGTGGGCAATATGCGGCAGCGTTTGTAAGGGAAACCTCTATGACAGGCGTTGAGCTGGTTTGCAGGACCCCAGAGGGTTCAGAACTATCTGAATTTATTGTAGCGGAGACGGAAGTTCGTAGGCTGTTAGAAGGGCTGAACCCTTCTAAGGCCTCTGGGCCTGATTTCATTCACCCGAAACTGTTGCATGAGTTGGCTGCGGAACTAAGTAGACCGCTCGCTATTGTGTTTCAGAAATCGCTTGACAGCTGTGCATTGCCCTCCGAATAGAAGGAAGCTGTCATCTGTCTCATCTTCAAAAATGGGAACAAGGGTCTGCCTGCAAATTACAGGCCAGTTAGTCTGACGAGTGTAGTAGTCAAACTCCTCGGGAAACTGGTGAGAGATTCATTGGAGAGTCATCTGAGTAGAGTTAATCTACTTAGCAATGCGCAACACAGATTCCGGTAGGGATTTTCTTAGCTGACGAATCTACTGGTGGCCCGCGGAACTTGGGCGGATGCAGTGGAAAACGGCCACTCGCTGCACGTGCTTTTCGTTGACTTTACGAAGGCATTTGAAAAGGTTACCCCGTTTGAGACTCGCGCAAAACTGTCCACCTACGTCGTACCTGGCCGCGCCCTTCATTGAGTGACTGCCTTCTTGGAGGGTAGAGAACAGTGTGTACGGGTAGGCCGGGGCCTATCGTTTAGGCAGTTTGTCCTCAGCGGCGTGCCGCAGGGCTCGGTCCTTGGCCCGCTGCTGTTCTCTATATATGTGAATGACTTATCCGCGGAGCTTGAGGTACCATGGCTGCTATTTGCTGATGACTTGTAGCTGTGAAACCTTGTCAATGTTCCTGGGGGTTCCAAAGCTATGCAACGAGCATTGGATAAGCTTTGGGACTGGTCTACTTCATGGTTATTGCCCATAACTCAGGCAAAGTGATCCGTTCTTCGAATTCGAAGAGTTGTCCTCCTACGAAGTACGTGGTCGGTGGGGTCGCACTCCTCCGTGTATCTAGCCAGGTTGACCTGGGCGTCGTACAGTCTTCGGGTTTACACTCCGGCGATAACTGGAAGAAGGCCGCAAGCAGAGGTTTCCGCATGTTGTGGTTAATACGACGTTCCTTCGGATTCTTGACGGGCGGCATCTTTACGAAGCTGTTCTCGGCATTCGTTCAGCCTTATTTGGAATACTGCGTCTAGGCTTGTCCGCCCTGACTCGTCCGGGACAAAATGGAGCTAGAGAGGGTTTTAAGAGTGGGTAATAGGTTAGTCGAGGGATTACGGGAACTGACGTACCCCGAGCGTCTACTTAGTTTGGGAATGCATTCAATGCATTACCGAAGGCATAGAGGAGACCTAATCCTAACCTACGGTATCTTAACTGGGTAGGTTGGTCCAGATTTATTTTGGCTGTTTAGTCCCGCTAGATTGTCGGTTCTACGCGGTCATTCCTTGAAGCTGCATAAACCGCGGTCCGATCGGATTAGGGCGGAACTCCGGCTGTCACGCCGAGTCATCGAGCGCTGGAACATGCTTCCGGAAAGTGTTATCAGGGAATCTACAGTTAAGGGGTGTGAGCGGCAACTTGACGCTCCTGGGTGGCAACACGAAACCTTTCCATTTTCCTGAGTAACTCGCATCTTCGTACTTCCATTTTCTTTTCTCTACCTTTTTTCACGCCTTGGTATTATTTTCTTAATTAAAATGCACTTTCTTATGCTGTACCATCGATTTCTCTTCCTATCATTTGCTTACTTCACGTGACTGCCACAGCAGGGACTGCTAGGGCAGGAAACGTGGGCATTAACTGGTTGGCCAGGGTGCGATACGGATGTTCTGTTTTAGATCCATCAATAACTGAGCACTTCATCAATTCCTGGCTCAACGATCCACTCAAGATGGAACACTCACGGGATTCTCCTACCGCTCCAGTCACATCTGAACTGAACTGAACGCGGCTCGTTTTGGTGCCCTCGGTTACCAATAGCAACCATCAAATTGGTGCATTCAAACACCAACTTTCAGGTTAAGCTGGCTAAAAAGTACACACCTCCACGCAATTCTAATATCCTTCGCGGAGCCAATCGGATAGCTTCGCCATCTTGAATTCACACCGATGTAGTCTTGGCACCCACTGTGGAGGACTTTATGACCCGCTTGGACTGTCACCTGGGTAGCGTGCTGCACAACGGTCGATGCAAGGAGTAATAAATAACAGTCCCGGGGTACATCCGACACTGGGAAATAAGAGGAGTGGTATGAACAAACGTCCGCGTGTGAACATGGAAAGGAAATTACGAATAGATGAGCAATAATGCCATAATGTGATGTTAAACGTTAAAGCATGTATGTGTTGAAATGGGCGACCGAAGGTCGAATGAGGTAGTCAGGAAATACGAAATCATGGTTGCCATGACAGCAACCGTCGCTGCGTGAATAAATGGTGATGTATTCTGAAATGGAAGATATAGCGAGAGGTGACACTGATAAATGGTAGCTGTAGTACCTGCGCTATGTTTTAAAGGAATTAAATCTTCTTAAAGGGTTCGGAGGCAAGTGATATTTGGTGATGTTTACGTTTAGGGCACAAAAATGTACGTATCAAATAAAAGATAGTCTTTTATTTGATACGCTTCATGCGTGTTAGGGAAAAGGCAGCTGAATAAATTGGTAACTGTTATAATGCCGTGTGTGGTGTGGTATATAACTATTTTAAAAGTTTCACACGGCTACAGCTAGGGAAGTGCGGATTGAAACTCCATATTTCACGCATTTGTTTACAGCATGGGTGAAAGTAAATGTAGTTTGCAACCGTACAAAGGTATATTTCACGGATTATCAACAAATGATTTCTTTCGTAATTTGTAATGTATGGGATAATTAATTTGGGCAGAATTTTATAGTGGATGGATACGCAACACGTGATAATAGGTGAAGTTTTGTAATGTACTTTAAAGGGAAATGGCAAGTCCTAGCGATATAGTTCATCCCTGCAATCGATGAACGCTATTTCTATCTAGGAGATTTCGATGTACATGGTTTTTGTAATATTATATATTTTTGTTATGATATAAAATGTATAAAATATATATATAATGCTTTTATATATTGATTGATTTTATATATGTTGATAATATAATTATGTTATTTAGTGTATATGTCATATTTAGGTATATGGTAAATATTTTTATATTTTTCATTGACTTGTAATATGTTACATGGCATATATCTCGAATGTAAATGGGTAATGAAACATAATGGCCAGGTATTTATAAAAATCCTGTTCCGGTTACTGTTTTAATGCCCCACTACTTGAATTAGTCCATGTTCTTCGTACGTCAGCGGGCTTAGTTTATCACGTGAGAGTCGCTGCAGGAAATATATGAGTTAACTGTTGTGTGTTATTTCACTTGTTCGTTACGGTTTACTTCTCTCCATATATGCTTGCGTAGAGTTCCATCTAGCAGCAATCATTATCAGGCAAAGCTTGTTGTAAGCGACAATTCGCTTTGAAGGGCCTTGAGCCAACGCGTATCCAGCCAGTCAAAGAACAAGAACACTGGACAAGATGACGGTACTATTAACGAACAATCAGGAAGCAATAATATTACAAACCTCAATAGTAGCGCTTCCACTCAACGCAGTTTCAAAAGAGATACAATTCGGTCCAAGAACAACAAGAAAGGGTTCAGATCGTCAATGCGATACAGAATACAGAACACTGGTTATATAGGACAAGTGAAGTCAATGCGATTGGTCAAACACAGACCGGATGAAGGCCGGATGCGTGAAATGTGAGTGTGTGGGATGATAAGTACATTGCTCATGATCAGTGCGAGAATAATTGGGGTGATTGTTGCCGTGGTAAGGGCAGAGATAATTGAGGTGATAGTTGCGGTGGTAGTGACAAAGATAATTGAGGTGATAGTTGCGGTGGTAGTGACAACGATAATTGAAGTGATAGTTGCGGTGGTAGTGGCGAAGATACTTGGGGGATGGTAGTTGCGGTGGCAATGGCGAAGATAAATGGGGAGGGGGGCGATAGTTGCGCTCGGAGTAGTCCACACTCGATGGTTGGCGGATGGCGGAGTTGAACACAGGTCATGGAGAATCCTACACTCCCGCCAAATTTCGGACAGAAATTTCACTTCGGAATCTTGAGGTACTCTGGTTCACCCTAACCTGCTCCATCCACTATGGAGAAGAGTAGGACTTACAACGGTACGCCTAAACTTCTCCACTTCGGTCTGTTGAACTCACGGTGGTCCTCCCTTAGGCAGCAGGTCCGAAAACCCACCTCCCACTTGCGGAGAGTCAACAGCCGGGACTGACCCCTCACCCCATTCACTGCCTTCGATAAGACAGATCTTTCTAACGTCGCGCTCAACCACGTTCCCCTTTATTCTAACCGACACTGTCCTTACTAGGCCGTCCTCGGAGGTCTTACAACTCTCAACCACTGCTAAAGGCCAACTATCCCGACAGAGTGAATCCGAAGTAACTAAAACCACATCTCCAGGCCTAAAGTTGCGTTGTACTTTCAGCCACTTTTGCCTCAGGTGCATTAATGTGAGATATTCCTTGCTCCACCGTTTCCAAAATAGTGTGGCCAGGTAGTTAGCTTGTCTCCAACATCGTGTATACCTGTTACAAAGCGTTGCTGGTGCTATTCCCTCTGTATTCGGTCTTAGTAACAGCAAATCATTAGGCGTGAGAACTGGCTGGTCAAGAGAGTCTGCCGTTAGCGGGGTAAGAGGTCTACTGTTAATGATGCGCTCTGCGTCGGTGAGAAACGTAGACAGGGTTTCGTCGTTGAGGGTCTGTTCTCCTGCTATGGAAAGCAGCACTCGTCGTACTGATCTGATCATCCTTTCCCATATACCTCCACGGTGACTAGCATGGGGTGGATTAAAATGCCACTGGACCCCTTTACTTAAGAGTTTGTCATTTATGTTAGCCTGGGACCAGTTTTTTAGTATTTGGCGCAATTCGGCTGCGGCACCAATAAAGTTTGTGCCGTTGTCGCTGTATATTTCGTCCGGGGTGCCTCTTCGTGAAATGAACCGCAGTAGGCACATAATAAAGGAGTCGGTGGTCAAAGAGTGCGAAACCTCGAGATGTACCGCCCTCATTTGTAGACAAGTGAATAGACACCCATATCGTTTTTCTTGCTTTCGACCGTGTTTGATGAGTATAGGACCAAAGTAGTCAATTCCAACGTGTTTGAATGGATGCCATCCCTTATCAACCCTGGCTGCTGGCAACGGTGACATCATCTGTTGACCAGCGGTTGCCAACCGTTTCCTACACGTCCAACACTTACCGATCACTCGCTTGACAGCAGATGCCCCTTGCACAATCCAATACTTCCGACGGATGCTTGACAATACCTGAGAGACCCCAGAATGACCCTCAGCGAGGTGATAGAAGTTAATTAGTGTCACTGTTAATGCATGCTTGGCAGGCAAAATCATCGGATATTTTGCCAGGGAGTCAGAGGCAGAATACGCTAATCTACTGCCGACACAGAGTATACCATTGTGTAGAATGGGGCACAATCGCTTCAAAGTCCCTTCCACCAGCTTTGTTGCACGTGCTCCCTTTCCTACACATGCGCTGACACTCTTTATTTCCCGGGCATAACAGCGCTGCTGTACTAACCGAACAACATCTCTTTCTGCCGCAGAAATTTCGGTTAGGCTAAGAAGCCCCAAGGGTATCGACTGCTTTGTGCCGTTATTTAACTGGTATCTGATAAACATTTTGAATCGAGACAGCCAAGCCACCGATTTCAATAGCTGGAGCCAGCTAGAGTACCTTCTGATCAACATATGTAGAGGGGGCTCTTCGGATACCGCCAAAACATGGGCCATCGTGCGTTTATGTTCCACACTATCTGGCGTAGGGAAGGATTTTATAGATGCGGGCCACTGGAGTTCGCAACCCCACAGGAATTCAGGCCCAGAGAACCACTGCTTCAACCGAAGGCTTGAAGACACGCCACGCGACAACAGGTCGGCTGGATTGTCTTCCGACTTTACGTGCCGCCATTGATTTGGTGATGACACTTCATGGATAGCCGACAGGCGATTCGCGATAAACGTACTGAACCTAGTGGACAGGTTATTTATGTAATACAATACCACCATAGAATCTGTCCAAAAAAGAGACTTCTCGAAATTAATCTTTGACCCTCGAGTCACATCTTCAAACACGCGGATGGCGAGCTTGGCCGCTGTTAGCTCTAGCCTGGGAATGGACACGGATTTCAGGGGCGCAACTCTAGATTTCGCATACAGCAGACAACAATGTATACTTATGCCTGAATTGCCGAAACGTGCATAGGCGACTGCTCCGTAGCCCTTCTCTGAAGCGTCGCAGAATATGTGAAGTTGTGGCGGCTGGGTTCCTTGGTAGCATCCGAGTACACATCTCGGTACCTTTATGGTACCTAATTCTCGCATTCCTGTCAACCAATTTTCCCATACAACTTCATCTGTTTGGTCGATAAGCTGGTCCCAGCCGAGTTTATCCCTACACAACTTCTGTAAGAGGATCTTGGCGGGCATGATACTTGGAGCAACCAAACCAAGGGGGTCGTACATGGAGGAGACTACGGACAAAATCGATCTTCGTGTCTTCGGCGCATCCTTTACTGCGAACCTGAACAAGAAGGCGTCCTCCACCGCATCCCATTCTATGCCTAAAGTTCGTTGCACCTGTTTAGCTTCTCCGATATACTTGATTGGGCTTGCAATTTCAGTGGCTGGCAAAGTCTCAAGCACCACCGCACTGTTAGAAACCCACTTTCGAAGCTTAAATCCAGCTTTACCAAGTAATTCCTGAATTTGTACAACAAACCGTACCGCTTCAGCGACACAAGGCAGTGAAACCAAACAATCGTCAACGTAAAATCCGTTCATGACGGCGTCTGACACACTTCTGTCATACCGATCACCCCACTCTTCCGCTGTTCGGCGCAAGGCGAAATTGGCACAAAAGGGGGATGACGTCGCTCCAAATGGATGGGCGGTCATCTGATACTCCAGCGTATCCAATTCAAAATCACTGTCTCTCCACCACAAGAAACGCAAGGCACCACGATCATTCTCTGGCACCTTCACTTGCATAAACATTTCCTCAATGTCCGAAACCACTGCAACTCTGTTGTTTCTGAAACGCATCAGAACCCCTATGAGGCTAGAAGTGCTGTGGGGACCTTGTAACAATTGATCGTTTAGGCACAGGCCTTTGTACCTTGCAGCGCAATCAAAAACAACCCTCAGCTTATCGGGTTTTTTAGGGTTTATCACAGCGTGATGAGTTAGGTACCACCTTGGAGCATATCGGGATTCCAGCTGATTTGTTGGAACACGCACCGCATACCCTTTGCTGATGGTAGCCTCGATGGCTGCAGCGTACCTTTCACCGAGTGGGCAGTTGGTTATCAAACGTTTTCGCAAGCACTGTAGACGCCGAAACGCTATCTCGTAATTATTCGGCATCAGGACCGGCGAATTTCTCCAAGGAAGACCAATCTCAAAGTGACCGTTTACCAAATGCACCGAATTTTGCGCAATAGACAAGGCGGCGTTATCTTCTACTGAAGGTGCATGATCGCCTACATCTACACGAGAAAAGTCGTTGTTGTACAATCTCTCTAACTGTTCTTCAACTGTCGGCCGACTAATATGGCAATATTGTACGGAATCAATGGCAGTTCTGCCTTCTCCAACTGGGCCTAGCAACGTCCAACCGAGTAAGGTTTTCACAGCAAAAGGATGATTTCTCTCCCCAAGACGTTGCTCTAAATGCCAGTGTGCCTCTGGCACGTTAGTACCTAACAGTATTCGGATCCGACTATCCCGGATTTCCTCAAATGGTATATCCGCCAGGTGTGGCCACTGGCGCGCCAAATCCCTCTTCGGGGTTATAATGGGTTCCAAGGGCAGTCTTGGCAAGCAGTAGGCCTGCCTAACGGAAATCGAACCCGTGCCATCTAGGGATGACAAAGTGAAACCTACGTAACCCGCTTCGATCGAGGATGTGCCCGACATCGTCGTGAATTCCAAACGACTTGGTGTGACCCCGATGCCGGCTTCTTCCATAAGTCCTTCTTCTACCAAAGTTACATTCGAACCTGTATCTAACAAGGCATATGTTTCCAATAATCCTCTTTGGCTTTCTATACGCACTGGTACCACTCCCAAACACACCTGCTGCTGTGCAGTGAAGGTAGCAGTGCAAGTGTTTGCTACGGTCGGTGAAGTTACTTGTCTGGACTCTGAGTGAAGCAGTGGATGATGACGCCCTCTGCAATCTGGCACATTACAATCTTTACCATTTTGACAGGTGGCAGATCTGTGACCTGTTCCTAGACACCTAAAGCACCCACCTCTGGACTTCATGAGCCTCCACCTGCTAGGAACATCCAAAGAGAGAAAACTACGGCACGAGGCCGTGGCATGATCACTACCACAATTCAAACACGCTGTTTTAGGAGAGGCACCTGACCAGGTGTAGAGGACGTGGCTACGATCGTTTCGTCTGTGCTCTACTAGCGGTGGTCTGGCATCTAAATGCTGCCGCGACGCATTTGACGAAGCGATTTGACCGAATCTACTTCGCGCAACACGAGATTCCGCGGCAACGAAATCAGCCAAGTCCTTGAAATCGACCTCCCGCCCATCATGCGTGATCGAATCTGCTACCCTTGCCCACCGGGCCTGAAAACTGCTGGGTAAAACACGCACTACTCGTTCAATCGTTGCAATGGAATTCAAGTCCGCAGTAAAGTTCATCTGCGACAGAGCGATGTAACAATTTTCCATTTTCATGGACAATTTACTCAATTCATCTGGGTTGGCAGAGAGTGGCCTCAAGCCAGTCATGAGACCATCAATTAACGATCTGGCTACGACATGGCTTTCTCCAAAGAGTTCACGGAGAACCTTTCTCGCTCTATCGTAGGCCACAGAGGGAGGCAACATCACACATTCACTGATGGCCTCCTTGGCATAGCCACGACAATAATGAATCAAATAAAGCAGTCGCTGGCCACTGTCAAACACGCGGCTTTCGACGTAGTATTCGAACTGCTTTACAAATTTCCAATACTTAGCAGGGTTACCATCGAAATATTCTAGTTCAACCTTTGGCAGATCTAGCTGTAGGCACTGCTGTGACACTAACCTACCCCGATTGGCTCTGTGATCGTACGCCTCGGCTGCCGACAACTGACACTGATCAACAAAAGCGCCTATACCCTGATTCCTCTCATCAGAACTAGGGGCCGATATCACTTTAAGATTAGAGTGGACATTGCTTTCTTCCAATTCTACTCGAAGCTTGGCCATTTCTAATTCAAGATCTACTAAACGCTTCTGCTTATCCAAGTCTGACTGTCTTTTTATTAACTCCGCTACAGTCATTACAGCGGACGAACGACGGGAAACAATACTATGCTCAATCTTATGGCTAACATGTGAACCAGAGCATGAAGCACCATCATGATATTCATCAATGACTTGCCGGTATGCTGCATCATCCATGGGATTTTTAGAGGTAAAATTCCTTGCAGACATTGTCCGACGGGATTGAGTGAGTTCCAATTCACTTCAAGGCGTAAAGAACCGTCAAATTCTGGAATCCAGTTGAAAGCAAACGAAATGCTGTTGAGTACGGCACTCGAAACTTCAAACTTCACTCCAAACGAGGAAGCAGTATTGAGTACTGTAAGCGACAATTCGCTTTGAAGGGCCTTGAGCCAACGCGTATCCAGCCAGTCAAAGAACAAGAACACTGGACAAGATGACGGTACTATTAACGAACAATCAGGAAGCAATAATATTACAAACCTCAATAGTAGCGCTTCCACTCAACGCAGTTTCAAAAGAGATACAATTCGGTCCGAGAACAACAAGAAAGGGTTCAGATCGTCAATGCGATACAGAATACAGAACACTGGTTATATAGGACAAGTGAAGTCAATGCGATTGGTCAAACACAGACCGGATGAAGGCCGGATGCGTGAAATGTGAGTGTGTGGGATGATAAGTACATTGCTCATGATCAGTGCGAGAATAATTGGGGTGATTGTTGCCGTGGTAAGGGCAGAGATAATTGAGGTGATAGTTGCGGTGGTAGTGACAAAGATAATTGAGGTGATAGTTGCGGTGGTAGTGACAACGATAATTGAAGTGATAGTTGCGGTGGTAGTGGCGAAGATACTTGGGGGGTGGTAGTTGCGGTGGCAATGGCGAAGATAAATGGGGAGGGGGGCGATAGTTGCGCTCGGAGTAGTCCACACTCGATGGTTGGCGGATGGCGGAGTTGAACACAGGTCATGGAGAATCCTACACTTGTGGTAACGTGTTTTACTTCATGTATGGACGGTCATGATACATTGAGCACTGGAATACCTTGAATAATTCCGGGATCTGATGACCTTATGCTATGGGATGTTCTTAATTTTCCTGGAGTATGCGAGGCCATACAGTATGCGCTGGACAGACTCTGGGACTGGTCTACTTTGTGGCTTGTGCTCATAAATCAGGCTAAGGTTTCCGTTCCTCGTATGGAAGCAAATTTTTCGCTTTTCAGGTACGTACTCGGTGTGGTTAAACTCCCCCTTGTCTCCAACCACGTAGATCTAGGCGTCGTTCATTCCTCGTGTTTGCATTCTGGTGACAGCTGGAAGAAGGCCGCAAGTACGGGTTGCAGAATGTTGTTGTTAAATGGACGTTCGTTCTTGGTCTTAACGGCCGACATATTGGTGAAGCTGTTCTTCGCTTTCATCCGCACCCATGTGAAATGGCGCGTGCAGGCTTTCTCGCCCTGCCTTGTTCGGGACAAAATAGTGCTCGTGAGGGTTGTGAGAGTAGGTACCAAATTGGTCAAGGTGTTACGGGTGCATTCTTACCACGAGCGTCTACTTAGCTTGTGTATGTATTCAATGCACTTGCGATGAGTTCGAGGAGACCTAATGGTTACTTGTCGCATTTTAACAGGTAAGGTTGCACCGTACCTGAGCTGGCTATGTAATGCGGCTAGGTTGCCTAGTCTTCGTGGTCATACCATGAAGGTAGACAAGCGGCGTTGTGACCGGATCAGGGCGTAAACTCGGTTATCGCGTAGAGGTATCGAGCGCTGGAACTCGCTTCCAGAAAGTGTATTCCGTGAACTTGCGGTTAAGGGTTTTGAGCGTCGGTTCGACGCAGTTGGGTAGCAGCATGAAAACTTCCCTTCTCCTGAGCACATCCATCTTCAAACTTTAAGTTCTGATTCATTCACTGCAATTTTGTGTTATCTTTCAATCTAATGGCTTTCATTCCCCATCATCTTACATTTACTTTATACTTCCTGCCTACTTAACGTAACTTACACTACCGAAACCGCTAGTGCAGGAAAGGTGGGCAGTAATCGGTTGATCATAATGTTTTAGGAGTTTCCTTTAAGATCTACCACGACCTACCATCTTCTCATTTCCTGGCTTAACGATTTGCTCAAGTAGGAACACTCAAGGGATTTTCCTATCATTCCAGTCGAACTGAATCTAAATCTGAACACCCCTACGCCTCCCTGGGCAAACCGTTAATGCCCACGTTTGCTGCCCCATCAGTGCCTGCTTCCGCAATCACGTGAGATAAGTGAAACATAGGAGGTGAGAAATGAAAGGCATGGAATAAAGAAGTGCACGTTAACAAAGGAAAATGATATCAATGCTTCAGAAGAGGTAGAGAAAAGGAGTTTGAAGGACGAAGGTCTGAGTTACTCAGGGTAATGAAACCGTTTTGTGTTGCCACGCGGAAGCTTCAAGTCACCCTTGAAACTCCTGAACGCCAGATTTCCTGTTAACACTGTGCAGAAGCATGTTGAATTTCGGTTAGTGCACCTTCAAGGAGTGACCGCGTTGAGTGGAAAATGATACCGGGAGTATGTACCTCAGATACATTATCACCGAGCTTCGCAGTGAAGACGCACGTTGTTCACTTTGGGACCGCCTGTTTTTGACGTTCTTCACGGCCTCCCTAACCTTTAGCCCATGGCCTACCGGAGGTTGCTGCTGAACGCCAATGTGTTATCTAATGCTACTAACAAACATGATGCCACGTATTACTGATGGGATAACAGAGTGCCAGAAATGGAGAAAATGCAGGACCATAAAACGGGTGGTCTTTTAAGCAACCGCAGGTAGAAGCGGCACGCAAGGTAAAGGAAAGGATAAGCCATTAGTCACAGGCAAAATGCTCGCGCACGTATGGGTGAGGTAATTCATACTCATCCACACGCGGTGGATCACTAAGCAACTGGGAGGTGATATGGTATTAAAAGATGCATTTTGAGCTCAAGGAAAACATATACCATGTATTATGCGTCATGCGTGCCTCTTACCTTGTCAACGCAGGTTACCCCGGTGCCTTGCAAAGCGTAATCTTTATCTCGGTTGCTTAGAAGATGGGGCTGTCACGAAGAAACGGGTAAGTAAACGTGTGTCCTAAAAAGGCAGCGGAATTACGGGTGCTTCTGATGTCCGTATGCACACCTGATCACCCCCATTATGCGTGATCCCGTTACCGAGGTTGGCGTACGTGACGTAAACATCATGTAGTGGAGGCACTGCATATGGGAGCAGTGGGTGTTTATAACTATCAAGCGGAAGCAGTGGATAACACGGTGATAAATGAACGAAAGAGGTAGCAATATGAAAAAGAAGAACTTACATACACCGATGGCAGGTAAAATGTTCCTGTCCACTGTACGAGGCGCACACCTGATGATACCAAAGGCCGCGGTCGGAGCACATGACCCAGTAAACCACCTGTCCACTCTGTGCCTCGCTGTCAGCTTGGAGGCACGAAGCGCACTTGTCATTGTCGTAATTGGCTTGGAGCGGTGCATAGCTACGACGCTTCCTTGGAGGCCTATACACCCCAGCAGATTTCGTCTGCAACCCTCGAAGACGAAGTGCCTTCCTTTCATGCTCCAGACAGGCTGACGTTTCTGGAATCGGAACTAAAAGTTGCTTACGCCTTGTGCCTTCCCTGGTATCTGCACCCCTCCCTTCTGCAGCTGAATCCATTACGTTTGCGGAGGCTGAAACCGCAACGTCCTCGTGAGAGCTGCTACGGTTCCGTAGTAACTCACGCAAGTGATCCATAACCTCCCTATACTTCGCATCGCTTAGGCTGCAAATTTGTACCTGAATATCACCCAGAACCTGGCTACATTTCCGAGCTTCTGTGCCCTACTTACCGATGCAACAGTGGAACTGGACGCTAAGGGGACGACGGCGGTGGACGTGGATGCGGTAACACGCGTTTGTTGCGCGTGCGACACAACCCACCGATTGTTACGCAATATGTCGTCAACCGGTCTGCTTGCCGCGTGCAACACATGCACAATGTGTGCGCAGGGCAGCATCCATTGCCGGCTGAAGCTGCATTGGCAGGTTACCTCCTCACGCCTTAACACGGTGGACCTTCTACTGGTAGCTTGCAGTTGACACCTAGCGTCGGACAACGGTCACTGTCCACCTCTCCCTAGTGTAATGGCATCGCAGCCACGTCCTTGCATACCCTGAAAACTGAAACGCAGCCTGCCCTGGGCTATGCAAGCAAGAGTTCATTGGATGCTACGACAAATCGGTTTTACCTATGACATCTTCCCACTGAGCTTGCGCATCAAGCACGCGGTTTACAACCGCGGTAAACAGGTCTGATAAAGGGACCCGCTTGGAAAGACCGCTCTTTAAATGTCTATCTTCGCTTTCCACGCGGCTCGTTGTAAAACAGTCGAACAAACCGGTGGACGTCAAATGGTGCTCCGCCCATGATGAGACAAAGGGCAACCAGGTTCGTACTAAGTATCTGTGCGCGTCGGCGTTTCGCTCTTTAATGGCTGTCAACTACCTGACGAACAACCGAGAGCTCCTAGCGTACACTAAGTTCCGTACCCACTGCTTAATAACCAATGTATCGGTTGCACTTTTTTGGATAAGCCGTTGCAACGACAGGTGACATCCTTCAGCAAGTGAAAAACGGCACAATACAATCTGCGTGCAGGGGTAACCTGCTTGGAATGCATGGACCTGGGGCATGCACTTATCAATCATCACCGTCCGTGCTGCCTCAGTCGCTGGTAACATCAGCCGCATGCTGCGCACGGCGTTCATGTACGCTGCCGTTGTCTCATTAGGAAGCAACGCGTAGAAAATTGAACGCCCAATACCATTCAAATCTACCAACATGCAGTGCCACAGTATGCAGCCACCGCAGTTCATCTGGTGCGTCGCGTCCGCTAGCAATACCTCACTATAAAGCTCCTCAAGGTCACGTACGTACCTGGGAACAAAAAAGATGTAGCGTACCTCCGACTCCTCATACTCTACATTACATTGACCGCCGCTCTCAAGCAAATGTATAACACCGTTAACCGAGTTCCCCTCAACCTTTCCCTTCATCTTATCTCTTATGGTCCGGAAGTCGTAAAGGTTCAACCTTCGACCGTAGTGCGTCAACGCATATCTCCTGAGCTCATGTGTGTCCTTGAAAGACTGCATCATGCAATAGATGTCCTCTTCCGCGTGCCGTGGCAGCTGTCTGTTGGTAACCATCAGAAACGGCTTTCCTACATGGAAGTTATGGCTGTGCTCAAGGCTGTAGGATACTATGTCGAAGCACCAGCCGTTATGCCGTATGGCAATATGTGTCTGGCTGTCATAACTTTTGTACCTAAAGTTAATAAGCGTCTCATAAACATTACTTGTGAACTTACCGCTTGCGTGTGTATCCACTTCGGGAACAACGCACGCATTTATAGTGTACGAATTTGTATCGCACACCCTCGTGCAACTCTTTTCCGGTTTCCCTCTTATAACCAACCGATGTCAGGACACCCGCTTTGAAAAAACATGACGCAGTACGCATGTTTGAAAGCGCTTTAAGTCACTTTCGAACTGCTCAAAGGTGCGGTACACACCCTGAAGGAAGACAGCACGGAAAGCAGCGGTATCGTCGACAGCCATGACAGCGAGTGAATCCGCCAACGCACTTTACGGTGCATTCAAACTATCATCATACTCACATCAACCTAGGTCCGCGTTGCAACCCATGGCATTTTTCTCCACACTAACAGCTCTTAGATCTCAATGTCCTCTTCCCTTTTCCTTCACCAAGGCCAAGTGTCTTGTTGTCCACTACGGCAACCTCCCAGTCCCCTGCTGATCACCGACGGTTGTGGCCGAGTTAAACCGCGATATTCCCTAATCCCTTTTACTGGATGGAATATTTTCTTCTACCTAATTGCTTTCCAAAGCCGTTTCGGAGGGCATGGTGGAATGTCACGCTTTGAGCCGGAGTG